CCAGGTGGAGACGCTGCTGCAGGCGGTGAGGCTCCGTTTTCCCCCTAGAGCTCAGACGGCCACGCCGGGCGGGAGACACCCGAACGCCTCGTCTGCAGGCCGGACAAAAGTAGTGCCAGGGCTGTGGCTTCTGCCACTGTTTCAGTCAAATACAGACCCTTTGATTTTTAAAACTTTTTTTTTTGCTTTACGTCTCAATTCCCCCCCAAAATTGGCCTTTTTTTCTTTGCCTTTTCGTCTCAATTTCGCCCAAAAACTGGCTTTATTTTTGTTTTGTCTTTTTCTCAATTTCCCCCCCAAAATTGGCCCTTTTTTCTTTGCCTTTTCGTCTCAATTTCACCCTGAAACTGCCCCTTTTTTGTTGCTTTTCTGACTCGTTTGACCCAAAAACTGTCTTTTATTTGTATTTTTTTACTCCGTTTCATCCTAAAACCTGCGTATTTTTGTTTTTTGGGTGGCTGAAAGCAGAACGTTGGTCCACAAACTGATCCTCAGATTAAAATGATTCTGAGAGCGAGCGCTGACCTCTGGCTTCTGGTCTGTGGCAGGACATGAGGACGATGAGCTCTGGGAAACCGGCTCAGCACGCCGGGGAGGTGGAGGCCGACCTGGAGAAAGCCGACGGGATGATCCGCCTCCTCTTCAACGACGTGCAGCTGCTGAAGGACGGGCGCCACCTGCAGGCCGAGCAGATGTACCGCAGGTGCAGAGCGGCTGGAGAAGCTGCCTCAAACAGGCTGCTTCCTTGCTAGCATCCTTATTCTCCTCCTTCCTTCCTTGCATACATTCTTGCATCCTTCCTTCCTTGCTTGCTTCCTCACTTTCTGACTGCCTTGCTTCTCTACTTCCTTGCTAGCATCCTTATTCTCCCTTTTTCCTTCCTTGCTTGCTTACATCCTTTCTTCGTTCCTTTCTTCCTTCCTTCCATACAGTCTTCTGTCCTTCCTTCCTTACATACATTCTTCCTTCCTTGCTTGCTTCCTTACATTCTGACTTCCTTGCTTTTTTACTTCCTTCCTTACTTACATCCTTCCTAGCTTCCTTCCTTCCTTCCTTACATACCTTCTTCCATCCTTCCTTCCTTGCATGCTTCCTCACTTTCTGACTTTCTTGCTCCTTTGCTTCCTTGCTAGCATCCTTATTCTCCTCCTTCCTTCCTTCCTTACTTACATCCTTCCTTCGTTCCTTGCCTCCTAACCTCCTTCCTTCCTTGCTTACATACATTCTTCCATCCTTCCTTCCTTGCTTCCTTACTTCCTTTCCTTCCTTCATTCCTTTCCTTTCTTTCCTTCCTTCCTTATATACCTTCTTCCATTCTCTCTTCCTTGCTTGCTTCCTTACTTTCTGACTTCCTTGCTCCTTTACTTCCTTGCTAGCATCCTTATTCTCCTTCCTTCCCTCCTTCTTTCCTTCCTTCCTTGCTTACATTCTTCCCACTCATGCTCTGCTCTTGTTCTGCAGAGTGTATCGGCTCCACGAGCGATTGGTCAACCTGCGCAGCGAGTACAGCCTGAGGCTGAGGGCGGGCGTGGCCGCCTCCCAGGGCTCCCTGACCCAGGTCCAGATCCCCCTGACCCAGGTCCAGGGGTCTGTGACGCAGGTCCACAGCGCCCAGGTCCTGCAGCAGTCCTCCTCCAGGGCCCGGCCGGAGCTGGACGAGGTCACCCTGCGCTACGTGCAGGAGCTGATGGGCTGGGTGGAGGAGAACCAGCGGCGGGTGGACGGGGGGGACTGGGGCTCCGACCTGCCCACCGTGGAGTCCCAGCTGGGCAGCCACAGGGGGCTGCACCAGTCCGTGGAGGAGTTCCACTCCAAGATCGAGAGGGCCAAGGCCGACGAGGTGAGAGCCGGGGGGGGTCGAGGAGCCCAGTGTTGAGAAACGTCTTTTTAAAATCCAGCTCCTGAACTTATGTTTCCACTTCTGTCTGTAGTATCTGCTGGAACAGAGCTTATTTAGTGGAAATCGGAGCTGGTTCTGGAAGAAAAAAGCAGAAATTCAGAGTTTAAATTTGAGATATTCTGATTTAGTTGTATTTTTTTTAGTAATTTATCCTACTCCCAAATTAATTTATGGGATTATTTCAGCTTCTTTGGAAAAACTGACATCATCCTTGTTTATACGACTCATTTGCTCTTCTTCTGTCTTTTTTATTAGCTGTAAATTCAGGATTTAAGGGGTTATCATATTTCTCTTTTTTTTTTAGTCATTTCTTCTGTTTCTTGCTTTCAGCTGTAAATTTAGGAGTTTATGTTTAAGGTTTATTAATCATCGTTTTCTATTTTTTATACGACTGATCTTTTCTTCTTTTACCTTTTGCTATTAGTTTTAAATTTAGGATTTAAATGGTTATTCATCGTCCTTCTGTTGTGCTTTATCTGACTGATCCTTTCTTCTTCTTCTGTGCTTTGATTTGCTGCTTCTGTTGGGCCTCTGTTTCTGCTCCAGAGCCAGATTTCCCCCGTCAGCAAGGCGGCGTATCGCGAGTACCTGGCAAAGCTGGAGCTGCAGTACGCCAAGCTGCTGGTGAGTAGGGCGCCGGCCGCCCTCTGGACGCCGCCCGGCCGTTCTGACGCCCGTCTGCCTCCCTCAGAGCGCCTCAAAGGCGCGACTACGCCACCTGGTGGAGCTGCACGCCTTCGTCAGCGCCGCCACCAAAGAGCTGATGTGGCTGAACGAGAAGGAGGAGGAGGAGGTCGGCTACGACTGGAGCGACAAGAACCCCAACATGGCCTCCAAGAAGGACAGCTACTCGGTAGGGCGCCGGCGCTGTGTGGGCGGGGCCAGGCCGGTGGGCGGGGCTCTGATGGCCGTGCTGGTTCTTGCAGGGTCTGATGAGGGAGCTGGAGCTCAGGGAGAAGAAGATGAACGGCGTCCAGACCAGCGGAGACAAGCTGCTGAGGGACGGCCACCCGGCCAAGAAGACCATCGAGGTGAGACCCGCCAGCTGGCCCCGCCCATATCCCCTAGCAGGCCCCGCCTATAGCCGGAACAGGCCCCGCCCATATCCCCTAGCAGGCCCCGCCCATATCCCCCCCAGCAGGCCCCGCCCATATCCCCTAGCTGGCCCCGCCCATGTCCCAGCAGGGCTGCTATCTTTTTATCTTTTTATTATTTAGCTCCTTCCCTCCTTGTTTGCTTGCTTTCCTGCTCACTTATTTCCTTCTTCACATCCTTGATTCCATACATGCTTCCTTGCTAGCATCCTTGTTAGGATCTTTCCTCTTTTGTCTGGTCTGGTTCTGGTGGTTCTGGGGACACCAGTCCACAAATGGAGGGGGCAGGGATCCTCTACCATGGCTTCCCTCTAACATGGCTTCCCTCTAACATGGCTTCCCTCTAACATGGCTTCCCTCCTCAGGCCTTCACCGCTGCCCTGCAGACCCAGTGGAGCTGGATCCTGCAGCTCTGCTGCTGCATCGAAACCCACCTGAAGGAGAACACAGCCTACTTCCAGGTGGGGAAAAGAGCAGAAACTCAGACTGAATTCCAGATATTCTGATTTATTTTTGTCAGTATTTTGTCTGAATCCCAAATTAATTTGTGGGATTATTTAATCTTCTCCTTGAAAAATGTATGTCTCGCTATCATTTCTTTTACTGTTTTTTGCTTTTAGCTGTAAATTCAGGATTTAAAAGTTTGTCACCATTTTCTATTTTTTTATATGAATAATTTCTTCTTTTGTCTTTTTATTAGCTTTAAATTTAGGATTTAAAAGGGTCTATAACTGGAAACTGGGGTCCCCGGGGCCCACTGGTGGTCCAGTAAGGCTGCAGACTCTTCTATTGTTTTTTTTTCCCTCCTCAGTTCTTCTCAGACCTGAAGGAATCGGAGGAGAAGCTGCAGAGGATGCAGGAGGCCATGAAGAAGAAGTACAGCTGCGACCGCTCGGCCACCGTCACCCGGCTGGAGGACCTGCTGCAGGACGCAGCGGTGGGTGGGCCGAACCGGGCCAGAGCCCTCTGGGTTCTGGGTGGCTGGGTTCTGGGTCCTGGGTCCGGGTGGCTGGGTTCTGGGTCCTGGGTCCGGGTGGCTGGGATCTGGGTCCTGGTGGCTGGGTTCTGGGTCCTGGTGGCTGGGTTCTGGGTCCTGGTGGCTGGGTTCTGGGTCCGGGTGGCTGGGTTCTGGGTCCTGGTGGCTGGGTTCTGGGTCTGGGTGGCTGGGTTCTGGGTCTGGGTGG